TGACTACAGCTATGCATTCCGTGAAAATATGTGGTATCACTGCCAGCCTAAAAGGAAAAATACTAACTCAGTGGTACAAGAGAGACTTCTATTGCTTGAGGTTTTATCCTATGAGCATAAAAGCTTCTACAAGATGCAGAGTCCATGGTTCGTCACTATCCTCTAGGAATGGCACAATTCCCAGTCTCACACATTTCATTGTTGACCTGTTCCTTCAGCCTCCTAATATCCAGAACAATGCCCCCATCCTTATTACTGGGGAATTAGATTTTCTTCCCCCTTTTGCCTGGCAATAGCAGCTCACAGATTTCTCTGCCCAGGGGGATTTAGATTTCCTGCAGCTTTTTACCTCTTCCTAAGAAAAACCCAGTAACATTCATGAGAGCAAGGGAATGACATCCTGAAGATTCGTTTCATCACCTATACCTGTACTCTCAGAACTCACATATACATGACAAAATTATTAGAGACAAAAATCTCCTAGTCAGCACTGAATCCAGTTACCTGACATGTTCCTGAAAGTGGTTGGTATTGTCTGGTCATATACTCTGGGGTTTAAAATACCCTTGTAGAAATGAGGCTTATGCCACCTTCTCCATCCTTTCGTCTTTGCCCCCACATCTGCTTCCCTTCTTGCATTCAGCTGAGTTGGGTGAGGACTTAGGGACATTGCGGGAGGAGAAAAAATGCACAACAATACTCTAGACCAGGGTCCCATGAAGTCTGGCCCCAGCAGTGCTGGAGGACGTACAGTTAGGCAAGGAGTTGCTCCAGGGGGTGGGGCCAGGGCCAGGGCCGGGATCTCGTAGCAGTGACAGCATGGTCCAGAGCTGGGGCAGAGCTGTAATCTGCTGCCCACATGCCCCCGGGGACCTCTTTTCCCCTTCCCAGATCCAGGGCACTACTGGGGTCTCCACAGTAGTGGAGCCACTAGCCACAGCGACACAGGCAGGGACTGCTGGGAAATGGAGTCCGCCACCAGACTGATCTGGCCCACAGGCCACACTTTGCCCACCTCTGCTCTAGACAGTGTCATGTCCATCCCCACAAGAAGCAAGAGACAGAAAAGCACTTAGACAATGCTTTTTGTGCTAAAAAATCTAACTTCTAAAGCACAGGGTTTGATCCCAGTACAAAACACATTCCAGTTGCAACTATAGATCTCACAACTGAATCTGGAGTGATAAATCAACTGAACCATCTGTAACCCTTGGATTTAATACTTGGGGAAAAAGGATACCTGTTCTTGTCAACTTAAACCTCACTGCTGGATTTTTAGAAAACTGCCTATCTAGGCAAAGATTTTCTTAAATATAGGTGGAAAGTTTGATTCCTAATTCTTGATTTATGCCCCAATTCTACAATGAACTCCGCATGTGTATAAAAGTTCACGTATACAGTGCTTATTAAAATATGAGCAGCCTAAACATGTGGCTTGATTGTCAAATGTTGAAGTTAAAGGAAACCACGGAGTTCTTGGTTTTGTAAGAACTGAGTCACAGGCAGTCTAGAGGAGCAAGGGGTTGACAAGTACTGTACTTGAGTCAGAGGGTAATCCAAACCAGGGCCCAAGGCTGCCCAAGAGAGTCAAAGCCAGAGTCCAAGCCAAAATCCTAGCCAGAAAGCAAAATCCATATCCATGGTCAAGGTAGTACCAAAAGTCAGAAGCCAAAGAATCCAGGACACCCAAACAGGAAAACAGGAACAGGCTGAGTGTGTATAAGGACCCAGGGCTGGACCTAATGATCTTGCAAGGTTTCTTCCAGCCTCTTAAAATCTATGAATCTATGAAAAATACAGCTACGACAGATTGTAAAGTACTTATTCCATAGTGCTTTGGGGCATACTAGGTCCAACCTACTCTGCAGCCAGCGAGCTTCTCAATTGTCTTCCAACAGGTTTTTTGAAAAAGCAGGCCATTTGTTCAAACACCAGAATAAGAGATTTAGGGCCCTGTTCTAAGATTCAGTGCTGTTTTTCAAAACTTTGGTACAAGTGTATTTGTCACACAAAGACCTGTTGATACCAAGCTTTTACCAATATTCCAACTGATTTGATCTTCAAAATAGTTTTAGAAATCTTCTCTTTTCCAAAATTACCCCTTTTGCTTTTTCACTCTCCTTCATTTTACTTTTGAAGGCCAATTTTAACATTCAGCATCGCTAACAGCAGCAGCAACAACAATAATATACTAATAAATACAACAAAATAGAATAAATAGTAGTCATTTCCTTTGTAAATCCCACCTAGCAAAAGCTTTCAGAGTACTGGACCAGAATCACAAAAACAATTTCTCCTTTATTAAAAACAGCTTTGTGAACTGAAGGCAGATCTTGATCGGCAACGTACAACTTATTTTCAGAGACATGATGAAAAGGAGTGAGAAGGTGAAAACTCTGCTGGTAGAAAGAGCACACGGACTTGATAACACATATGGGATTGGATGCAAACTGATATTACATTCTGATAATCCCAGTGCCATTGTACTTTTCAGAAAAAATGCTGGTGCCATAATACTGTGGGCAAGCATAGCCTTATTAGCAAAACAAGATAGCTTTCTTACGCCCTTTATTCTTACTGCTCGTCACACTGGGCCAGGGGTATAGGAAAGCAAGATTTGATTATGCAACTGGAAAAAAAAACCTGTCTACCTAATTATTGTGTCCCCTTCTATTTCACGGTCTCAAGTTACAACAAGGGGAGTTTAGGTTAGATCTTGGGGAAAACTCTGAGAGTAGTAAAACACTGCAACAGGCTACCCAGAGAGGTTGTGGAATCTCCCTCCTGAGAGGTTTTTAAGACCCAGCTAGACAATGTCTTGGGGATGGGGATGGGGATGGGGATGGGGATGGTCCTGCTTGGAGCAGGGGGCTGGACTTGATTCTTTCCCGAGGTCACTTCCAGCCCTAACTTTCTATGCCTCTATTTTGCTGCCTAGCGAAGGAGAAATTCTTGCTGTTTGCTCATTGTGTGCCCCCCTCCCAATCTCTGCATCCTTTTACAGCAAAAAAACCACATGTAACCCCACCAGCACCAAAAAGCCCCCTGCCACATTTTTTAAAATGAAATCTTCATATTTTCCCAAGCAGGAAGCAACTGTGACCACCTGAAACCCGTGATCCTGCTCCTGCCTTTGTTTCAAGGTAATTTGCATCATCACAGATCATCACAGGATGCGAGAGGCTTCATACGGGTACGAACTGACTGCCCAGAGGAGTTTTCCCATCTACGGACACCTCTGTGAAATCCAATGAAGTACGGACTTTCATTTCTACCCAGGAGAACTTTTACAATCTTTTCTCTGATGCCTGATGAAGGGTGTTTGTGCCTCAAATGTTCTAATAAAACATTTTTTTTTTTTTTTTGCAAAAATCTTGTTGGTGTAATAAAAGAGATCACCTCTACTATGAGTCCTGACTGCCTTTTCCTCTAGACCAATACAGCTACAACATGGATACCTGACACATGGAAGATATTGAATTTTAGCCATTTTTTAAAATGAAATCTTCATTTTCCCATGCAGGAAGCAACTGTGACCACCTGAACCCTGAGATCCAAGTCCTGCCTTTGTTTCAAGGTAATTTGCATCATCACAGACATTCACAGGAGGTGAGAGGATCCATGCCAGCTATGAACTGCCTGCCCAGAGGAGTTTTCCATCTACAGAGGAAACACCATGTAGCTGGATCCAAGAAGGCAGCTCTCCTTAAGTGTTCCCGGGGATAACTGTTCTTCTGGCGTGGTTTAGTGTTGGGGTTTAAAGCCCACTTTATGGAAATGGAAGTCTCCTCCCTAGCTTGCTTCTGCGGCCATAGGGCTGAAGGCAGGTGAAACTTGGGGGCATCGGAACCTCAAGCCTCCGGGCTTGGGCCTGCACATCGGATGCCTGCCAAAAGACTTTGGAAATATCTGAAGCCACCAGTTGGGGTTGGGGGATGTTTGCTGGTTGTAGGGCATGGTTCTGGACTGACTCACGGGTTTGGACTTGATTTGGCTTAGATGATGAATCATTTCTTGAAAAGAAATAAAATAAAAATGTATCCACTCCTCTGTGAAATCCTAGCAAACATGAACTTTCCTTTCTGCCCAGAAGAACTTTTACAAGGTTGTCTCCGACGCCCCATGTTTGTGCCTGAAAGCTTGCAATCCAAGAATACATATGTATGTATGAATGTATATATATAATATGTAGTGTGTGTGTGTGTGTGTGTGTGTGTGTGTTTTATTTATTTATTTATTTATTTATTTATTGGCAAAAAAACCTGTTGGTCTAATAAGAAGGAATCTCTACAACGAGTCCCGATTGCCTTTTCCTCTAGATCATAAAGCCCCTTCAAACACTTCCCTTACACCCCTTCCTGCAGGCCTCGCAAAGAATGGAAAGAGCTCTCCGGTAAAAGGGACCTGAGAAGGAAAAGCCCACGACCCCTGCCCTGCTCCCCACGCAAAACTGAGTTTCTCCCCTTTTCCCTCCCTGCGGTCAGGGGGGACAGGCAGAGGCAGAGGCAGAGCAGGTGCCCGGGCTGAAGCGGTGGCTCGGCGCC